GGGTGGTCCTTGGACTTCCCACAGGGCAGGGAAACTTGATTGCTCTTTGGGCTAACGAGGGAGGGGAACTTGATTGGGGGAGGGGGAGGGAAATGGGAGGCAGTGTCGGGGAAGAATCAGAAATCTTTAATAAATAAATAAAAATTAAAAAAAAATCTACTTTCAATCTGCCAAGTTTAAGAAGTTCAACTGGCCATGTGAGTGAGGACACCAGGAAGAGTGTTGAATGTGGGAGGCACCCACTCAGACAGGAGGCTGAAATCTGTCGTAGACAACTGACTGAGGAGGTTGAGCAAGAAGTGGACAGAGAGCCGGGACTTGGTGGCACACGCCTTTAATACCAGTTCTCAGGAGGCAGAGGCAGGTGGATCTCTGTGAGTTTGAGGCCCACCTGGTCTATAGAGCAAGTACCAGGACAGGCTCCAAAGCTACAGAAAAACATTGTCTTGGGAAAAAAAACAAAAGTGGACTGAGGAAAGAACCCAGGGACCACAGTTTTAAGGTAGAATAGATGAGCAGCCATCAATGCGGATGGAGTGACATCAGATAGGGACAGACTAGGGAACACAGGAGAGCTTACCACATGGACTTCTGGGTAAGGAGAGGGGGCAGTGCCAAATGCCTATGGGAAGCGAAGCTAAGGCCAGGGTGAGGTATAAACTTTGACTTGTACTAAAGGCAGAACTGGAGGGATCATGAGGAGAAGCCACTAGAAAAGGAGAGGAATAGTGCTCCCTCCGGGAGAATTAACTTGATATCTTACAAGAGGATACCATAAAAGCAAAGTGGGAATTATAAGAACCAAATCTCCGATGGGGCAGGTGGAGATGGAGCTTCATCCAGAGGGAGAACAAAGGGACATGTAGTGATATTTTGTTTGTGTTTTAACAAATAAAGCTTGCCTGGAGATCAGGGTGCAGAGCTAAGCCACTAGAGGCCAGGTGGTGGTGGCTCACAACTTTAATCCCAGTACTTGGGAGTCCCAAACCTTCCATCTCAGCACTAGGGAGGTGGAGACAGGAAGGGGTATAGCTGGGCAGAGAAAGGAATATAAGGTGGGAGGAGACAGTGGCTAAGATGCAGTCTGAGGTTTGCTGGAGACTGGTGCAGTCTGAGGATGCAATCTGAGGACAGGGTCGCCCCTTTGGTCTGAGCATTGGTAGAGGTAGGAGGTCTCTCTAGTGGCTGGCTGCACTGCTTCTGTGACTCTCAGCTTTCACCCCTGAATACCTGACTCCATGTTTTTATTAAGAACAGTTAGAATTTGTGTTATAGGGACGGTTCACTCGGGGCAGACAGAAGCAGGTTGTCTGGGAGCTTTGGGAAATGAGGCATCTCTGGTGTGGTTGCTTCTGTTGTTCAGCTCTCTCTTTCTCATTTTTGGCTCGGAGTGAGAAGTGGGAGGGTTATTGGAGACTTGAGAAAGTTCTGGAGTTCAGCGTGAGGTAGGGGTGTTAGGGGACATGAATAATCTACACTGTTTCCTAGTGACCTTCCTGCTGCCGTGATAAAATACCCTGACCAAAGCAGTGTACGAAGAAGGAAGAGTTTGGTTTTCCACACAGTGCTGGGTAATGGTCCATCTCTTCAGGGGGATCACATGAGCAGAATCTTGGGGCAGCTGTGCACAACACATCCACAGTCCAGTAGCAGAGACAGGAAAGTGGAGAAATAAAATTTGTGCCCAGCTTCTTTCCTCTGTCTTACATAGTCTGGATCTCAAACACAGTGCCATCCACAGTGGGCAAGTCTACCCACCTCAGTGAACCATCATGGCAAGAGGGCCCTTTCCTGGGAGATTCTAGATCTCATCACGTGGCCATCTGAGAAGAAGCATCATGTAGGGTGCCTAGTTGAGTCATAGGCAGCTGGGTGCCATGGTTCTGAGAGAGCTGGTGAGGGCAATGGAAATGCAGAACCAAAGATTAATGTCCAGTACTCTACCTTGCACACACTTGGATAAATCTCTCAGGTTAAAGACGTAATGGGACTTGGCTGGGGTTGGCAGGAGATCGACGCTCATCCTGTTGTAAATCTCAACCGCAGCTTCCACGATGTTTGATGAAGTTTGCCTTACAGCTGGTGGGAAGTCATTCAGGAAGCCATTCAAGATGGCCTAGAACCAAAAATGTAAGGAGAGTCAGATTAAAACAAACAAACAAACAAACAAACAAATATTTGGCTCTCGGTACTCTAGTTCTGATACCTTTTCTAAGTGCAACTAGAATGTTAAATTCCAACACAAAGACACCCGTGTGTAAAGTCCTTGTTCATTTCAGAATATATTCTCAACAACAAGTTCTTTCTTGTGGTTTGTGGCTGTTTGGGTTGGCTGAGTGGGATTCATGGATGATATGTGCCTGACCACGGACTTCCCATTTCCTGTCTCTGTGGCTCTGCTCACTCAAGAACTCTGTTCCTGGGACTGCTTCGTTCTCTGTCTATTTGAATCCTCCTCCAAGACCAGCCTTGGGTGATTGGCGATGACATGCCTTCCCTGATTCACGCTTCTTCATCAGACTTTTCAGAATCATGGTTCACATTTGGACATTTTTGAGCACTTATAGCTTAAGGCAACAATGTGTTTCCCATTTAAATGACGAGGAATTTGTCCCTGGGGAAGGCTAGTACAGGTGGGAGAAAGATGGCTGTTCAGAGCGGTGGTGGGAGAGTCTGAAGCCTGTCTGAGATGTGTTGAACTGGAGCTGCCCAGAATGGTATGTGGTTTAAGGGAAGACCCAGGCTGGGAGACTATGAAGTGTGAGCAGAGGTAAGCGCTGGACTGTGGAAGAGATCTGCCTTCTTTAACAATAAATGACATGTTTAATCTGTCTGCATCCCTAAAGGGTCTGCTTGTGTGGCCACAGATATTGAAATCAAGATTCAGACACCCATCACCTTCTCTCTGGGTGTCCATGGTCACACGCTTCCTCCTTAGGAAAGAGACGGAGGGGTCTCTAGAAACCCAGTTGACCATTTTGACCATGAGACTTAAAGATCTCATGTTAAGTGTTTTTTTTTTCCCCCATCTTGCTTAAGTTAGAGTCCACACTCACCTGGAAAATCTGCTTTAGACTTTGCTCTGAGGGCATCGGGAGGCACATCATGCTAAAGTGTCGGATGAAGCGGGGTGTCACAGGGTTGCGGCCCCCTCCTGGAGGTGCACATGCTGATACGATTGTTACGTCCTGTGTGGAGAAAAAGTCACTTGAGTCAGTCTGCAGAGGAAGAGATAAGACTCTTTTCCCTAATATCGAGACTCAGAACCAACATTCTTTTGAGGACCTATCATGAACCAGCATTGCAACCCCAAGACTATCTGAGGTCACTATTCCTACCCTCATTTTATGATAGAAAAATCAAGGTCTTGGATGCTTAACTTAGTTGCTCAGTTGGCAGTGTCAGGACTGGCAAGACGGCTCAGTGTTTAAGAACGACTTCTGTCCTGCACGGGACCTTAGTCTGTTGCAAAGTTTCATTCCCTGCACCCACATCAAGTGACCTAACTGCTTGTAGCTCCAGGGGATCAAACACCTTCTTCTGGACTCCATGGGGCATGTGCACAAGCTCCCCAAATCGGCAAATAGTTAAAAATTAAATCTAAATCTTTAGTAACAAACAGTAGAGAGTAAAAGGCCACTCTGGCTCTGCAGATCAGGGAGCAGAGCTAGGAGTCTGGAGATCCGTTCAATGTGTTAGTTTCATCCAGCAGATATCCTTATGAGATACAGACTATGGGCCTCAGAAGCCTGTGTGAGAGAGGGCTTGACTTCAGATAATGACCATTGAAATGAAAAGGAATAAGTGACCAGAGAAATAGTTACAATGGATAGCCCATACATTCCAAAGAATATAGGATTTGGGCTGTGTCTGTTTGTCTTCAAGCTAACAACATCCTTTGATTTGCAGGAATGCTGGGAGAGTTAAATGACATAAATTGCTTGCTGCAATTTGTCTTTACTATGGCAAGCTGCCTTAGACTAGACATGCCCTTTTGCAGAACAGAAACAGAGCAGGATCCCCATTCCCCCCCCCCAGGTTCGTAAGGACTGCTGATGACATTTTGGTTGTACTTGTCACCACACTGGGGCTCCGACTCTCATTCTTAGGGGCTACACATTCTCTATTATTGCCTCCCCTCTAATCCATTCCTTCCCCACAGTTAAGAAGATTTTTCTAGAACACTTGCTTCAAAGATTCTCTGTCACAGAGAGGAAAAACCTACACTCCTCATCATGGGCCCACAGCCCTCTGAGATGTGAGTTCTGTTCCTCTTGCTGTTCCAGCATCAAAATTTACATGCCCAGGCATTCCAGACTTCCTGTTTATGAGATAGCTAGTATTCACTCCCTTGGCTCTGTCTTTATAATCTAAGTTCCCAACCCCCTGCTTCTCTCACACCCAGCCTAATCCCAACCCTGAATTCTTTCTCTCCGCCTCCCCTACTCATCATCTCTCACCACAGATGTCTGTCTCCTCTCCCAAACTCAGTTCTCTGGGAGGCGAGGACCATCTCATTTGCCCCTCATCCCTCAAAGCTTTATGCCAAGAACTCAGTGTAGATGGAACGAGCTGAATTAGAGGTAAGAAACACAAAGTCGTGTTTTATAGACTGAATTTATCCAGAAATAATGTGTTGAAGTCCTAATTTGTGTTTAAAATTAGGGACAGATCAAAAAGGTCCATGCTCCTTCTATTTCTCCACATGATGCCTTGCTGTTGTATAGCTTCCCCCCTGCTTCTCAAGAAGTTTTAAAGAAAGCGTGTTCATACCAGGACATAAACAACTCACAAGTTTCAGGAAGTACCAAAGCTTACCAGATTCACAGGGTCCCTGGATCCCCAAGGTTCTATAGGTAGTAAGGACTGATGAGTAATAAGGACTGATGAGGAGAGGAGATGCCCTGGAATGTTCAGCTGCCTGTAAGTTGTGCATCAAACTCCAGATCCAGCTGCCATGAGTTGTCAACCATGCTGGGGGTGGGGGTGAGCTTCAGGTGAAGCAGCTGCCCCTGCGTTTCCTTCCAAGACAAGGTCTCACTCTGTGACCCAGACTGACCTGAACTTGTGATGTGGACCAGGTTGGCCTTTAACTCACAGAGATCCACTTGTCTCTGCCTCCCAAGTGCTGGGAATATCTCCAACCCCGCAGATGCCTTTGAGTCATTTACGTTCCTGTAAGTAACCCTATAACCACACCTGTAAGTAAGCCCAATGCACTGGTTTACCAGGTTGGATTCTGATGGTATCTTTATTTTGGTCCACTACTGGCTCCCTATCTGGGTTGAGGAGACATTTGTAGAGATCTCCCCAGTGCCACCTCCCACTTGCACCATTCCAGTGACGAAAAGGAAAGCTGTCATCACAAGGTCACATGTCACCACAAGTGGTCAAAACCACAATCCATAGTAAATGTCTTTATAACTTACCCAACCCGTGGTAATAGAAAACAGACTAATAGACTCATGTAAAGACCTGAGGAGAAGAAAGACATCTACAGATCAAGCAGGGAAGTTTTAGAGGAGTGGATTCTGCTGGCTCCTTAATCTTGAACTTTTAGCCTTCAGAATTATGAAAAAATAGATTAAACTACCCAGTCTATAATACCCAGTGTTATAGTAGCTCTGAAAAGGATATTCAATGTTTGAACACATCAATTAATGTAAAATCTAAAATTAACCTGTATTTCTTTCCAGAAAAGTTTGTTTCTATCATAAAATCCACCAAAATCTTGATACTGCCGAAGCAATTCAATTGGTGGTTGGGAGCCGTAGCGATCCAGTCGGGGCATATTCAGATCATCAACAAAAATCACAACGCGCTTATTTCCTGGTGCTCCTGGGAAGAGAAAAACAGTTTGAAAAGAATGAAAATTTGTCACTAGAAAGTGGAAGGCCATTTTGTTGTTGTGGTGGTGGTGGTTTGAAAATGATTTGTTCTTACAAAAATTCATGTTGAGGCTTGGTCCTTGGTGTAATGGTGTTGAGAAGCGGTGGAATCACTGGGGTCATAAGGGATCTCCTCACTCACCTCTTCCAGGAGAAAAGAATGAATCAAAGCACTCGCATTGTCCTGTCATATGACATGGTTCCCCACCCTTAGTCTCAGAATCACATGATGATGATACTAGCTCCCTAGTGGTCTGAACCTTTCCAGATGTGAGGACCAGATTACCTGAGCATCTGAGCATGGGGGAGGAAGGGAATTACCTTTCCACAGAAGGATGGTTTGTTTGATGTGGTGGTTTGGAAGAAATTGGCCCTCATTGGCCCACAGATAGTGGCACTATTAGGAGGCATGGTCTTTTTGGAGCACACGTGTCTATGTGGAGGAAGTGTCACTGAGGCCAGACTTGAAGTTTCAGATACTCAAGCCAGACCAGTGGCTCAGGGTCCCTGCCTGTTGCCTATCGATCCATATGTAGAACTCAGCTACCTCTCCTGCATCACGGCTGCTGCATGCCACCACGATTACAATGGTCTAAACCTCTGAACTTTGTCGACCCCTGAATAAATGTTTTCCTTTATAAGAGTTGCTGGGGTCATGGTGTCTCTTCACAGCAATAGAAACTCTAACTAAGACAGCTACTAAAGGTTTCCATTTATGAACACCACCTCATCATCCCCATACAGAAAACAGGCTTTGATGTTTGAAACCATCCCAGCCTCACCAATGGGAATTCCTGAACAGTGGGAAGGAAGCACAGTAGGTGAGAGTTCACCCCTCTGGCACCCAGGTCTTGGGACAACTGCTACAGCCCCCGTGGCTGGGATAAATGCTAGGTGGCAAATCCAAGGCAACTGAAGTTAATTCAAGGGCTCCACACCATCTTCTGCCCCAGAGAAGCCATGTAGCAAGACCAGACTGGAAAGAAGAGACCTAAGAGAGTAATTCATTAAAAATGGGGAGCTCATGCCAAAAACCTAGACTGGCATCTGCTGCCCTGTGTTTAGCTAAGCAAGGACGGGGAACCAAGGAGTAGGGAGGCAGCTGGTGGCCCCACTGTTAGTATATGGAGGTCAGTGCATGACGGACGATGTGGAAAGCAGCTGAGTCTAAGCTCTCTCAGGTGCCCAGTCCAGAGGGCTGTGGGCTCTGCTGAGTGAAGTCCAGCACCTGGGAGCTAGAGCTTGTGTTGTTGGAGGATGGGAATGAGTGGAGGAGGAGACCTTGAGATCAACCTCAGGCAGCCCTGCAGAAGGAGGCTGAAGCCTGACCAGTGAACTGCTCTTTTAGTGATGCTCACAAGAACTCATTCCTGCACGGCCCTCCCAGAGGACATGGAGCAGCCAGCTCCAGAGAAGCAGGGGCCGTACATAGCGACAATCTAAATGTTAGTGAGGGACAAAACTTTAGTCTATTCCATCTTCTTTACCTACACATCAGGATCTTTAGGACTAGTAAAAAACACCCCATGCTACCTCAATGATAGGTCCTGGAGATGCAAATCTGACTTACAACACAGATAAGGGCTGACTTTCAGTTAGGCTTGGGGTTGATGTTTTACATTGGCATAGATTTGAAACAATCTAAAGGTAACAGGAAAATTATGCTTAAAAACAAACAAACAAACAAACAAAACTAGACCGGGCGGTGGTAGCACACTTGGGAGGCAGAGGCAGGCGGATCTCTGTGGATTCAAGGCCAGCCTGGTCTACAGAGCGAGTTCCAGGATGAGCTCCAAAGCAACAGAGAAACTGTTTTGAAAAACCAAAAAACAAACAAGCAAAAAAAGCAAGGAAGCAAACAAAAATGAGCTAATAAAGGAAAGAGAGGGAGATGTTAGAACTTGGCTGGAAACACTGACCAAAGACAAACTCAATCTTATGCTTACTTCCAACCAAACCCAGAAACTGCATGGGCATACATGAAGACCTTTGCTGGTCTTAAACAAGTGGAAGTCATTGAGATCTGAGGCCCTTTGATGGAGAGAAGGGGAGCCATGAAGTGGCTTCAGTTAAGAGACTGAAGATGGTCTGGGCTGACCATGATGGTGGCTGTCATGGTTAATCTTCACTTTGGCTTCACCTGGAATCACCTAGGAGACACACTTTCTGGGCGTGTCTGTGAGAATGGAGAAAGGAAGACTGACCCTAAATGTGGATGGCACAATCCCATGGACTGGGATTTCAGACTAAATGAGAAACCAAAAGAGGAGACAGCAACCCCTCTCCCTGCTGGCGGCAGATTGGTGTGGCTGCCTGCCGCCATGCTTCCCCACTGTGATCAACTGCCTCCCTCAAACTGTGAGCCCAAACAAATCCTTCTTCCTTCAAGTTGCCTTCTTCAGGTGTTTTGCTGACACAGTGGTGGGAGAAATAAATGACTTGCAGTTAACAGTGAGCTGTCTGGATGAGAAAAATGACAGTTGGCAGCAGACTCTCCTTACTTGAGCTCTCCACGACCTCTTGTTGAGGCACGGCCCTCCAACCAGCGCTGCTCAACACAAGAATGGGGTGGTGCAGAGCAAGTCTGGTTTCCTCAGCTTGCTCTCTTTGTATGCACCCTACCGGCTGAATGAATAATTCGTGTGGGTAAAACTGCAATGATGACTCAGTCTTACCTAGAATATTTTTTCTTTTTCTTTCCAGTTTTGACTCAATGATCTCTTGTGTCCTTGCAGAGGACGTTTGGGCAGAAAAATTCAGGTAAACAGGGACATAGCCTGCTGATTCTTGAATTCTGTTCAGCAATCCTTTCACAATAACAGACTTTGAATAAAAAAAGAATATGTTAACTGATTTCATAGTCAATATGGTACTTTTTTCCATAGCCTACACTTGTCATGATCCAACACAGTGAACAAGAAACAGGATAAAAGAAGGAGGTTTGGACGTAGACAGAACTGTTTGGGATTCTTTTAGTGTGAACAGAGATTTCAGTTATAGTCGTCAGAACCAAAGAAATACTTTACTCAGATTTAACTCAGAAAAAGTTGCAGAGTTACACTAAAATTCATCTGTTACTACCCAGACCAATTTTAAACTGAGGTAGACTTACATTTCTTTATTAAAATTTTTTAAAAATTGATATTTTATTTATTGTGTATGTGTGAGCATGCATATGTGAGTGTGTGCATGTGTGAGCATGTCTGTGTGTGTACTCATGTGTGAACATGTATGTGGGGGTGTCTGTGTGTCATGGAATACATGTGTAGAGGCCAGAAGACAACTTACGGGAATTGGAACTGAACCCAGGTAACCAAGCTTGGCAGCAAGCTCCTTTATTTGCTGAGCCATCTTGCTTGCCCACATCTCTTAGTGATAATATAGAAAGGAAACAGTGAATCCTGGTGTGTGTGGACTCCTCTAAGTATTTTCTTCTCCGCCTCCCTCCTCCCACCAAATTAAAATGACATCCAAGTTATGGCTGTGTCAGTTAAAATTAAGTAGGAAACAGGACAGAATGACCTTCATCAACAGTCCTTGGGGAACACAATTGCTCTGGGCAGTTTCTCTCCAGACACTGTGAGACCATTGCAGAAGTATGAAATGTCCCTAAACTCAAAACCTGGCCTATGACACCAACCCGAGGATGCGTGCAGAAACTGATAAACCCTGGGGAAATCCCCAGGTCTATATAGATTCTGCAGAGATAAATCCTTCCTGGAAAAGTGACACAAGCTAAACATGGGAAACAACGAGTTATTTCCGATGCCAGGGACCCCAGCTCCACAGTCCCTCACTTTTGATAGCACTTCTTACCTGAGGCCAGTTTCCTACCTTGCCAACTCCAGTGGTTCCTGTAAACAACACCGAATGCTTGACCGCCAGCAGCTTTTCCATTAGATAGCCATAGCGCACTGTGTCTGTTGTAGGGACGAGCATCTCAAAGAATGGGACCTCCTTGCTGTACTTGAAGGTGGGTATGATACGTTCCCAGGGGTCCAAGCGTTTGGTGTCAAAGTCTACATGAATGCTCCACAGATCCCCAGAACTGGGCAGCTGAAATAGGAACCCAGTGTCAGTGGACAGCACAGGCCCACAGAAACATACATTCTCATAAAAGCAAAGAGCACACATAGAGCTGAATTTCATTTTTGCTATTAAGAGTTTTTCCAGGTATCATAGGCGAATTCTTTCCTTTTTAACTTCAGTGGCGGCGATGCAGTCATTCCTGTGTGTATGATGCACGCGACATGTGATGGCGTGGGTGAATGCAGAGGCAGTGGAGGACACTGGTGTCCCAGCCATCATTCTCGGCCTTATTTGTTTGCGATGACGTCTTACTGACCGTGGAATGAGGCTGGTGGCTATCAAGCCCCAGAGATCCTCCTGTTTCCATCTTACAGTGTGTGGAGATTTATTTATTTACATATTGATTTTACTCTTTTTTATTTATGTGTCTGTGTGAGTATGCCTACTTGTCTGTGTGTGTACCAGCTTGACTCCCTTGGAGACTTCGTCATCAGGATCTTACACATGCAGAAAGAAGAGAGTAGCGGGCAGGACGGCATTAACCAGAGTGTGCCCCTGCTCCTGGCTGAGAAATTTCAAAGGAGAGATGACCCCTGCTCAACAGCAAAGGGAGACTGGCCAGTTCCACGGATTGGAACCCCGCAGAGGCATTCATTTAAGACACAAGCGTCTGCGCTCTCACCTTCACGAGACAACCCAGGAGCTGGAGTTTCCAATTAGGAAGAAATAGTGACCCAAGTTTTTAAAAACTTTAACCTCACTTGTCTTTCATTCTCTGAATCTTCATTTTCTTTCCTTCCTCCCTTCCTTCTGTCCTTCCCCCTTTCTTCTCATCTTCCCTTTCCTCTCTCTCTTTTTCTTCTAGGCAACACTCTACCTCTGAGTTCTATTCCAAGCCCATATAGACTTCTTAATTTCTTTGTTTAATTCTTATTTTGCTTAGTCAGATTTTGCCTTTCTTTGTTTTCTCATTGTTTCCCTGTTTTGCTTATTGTTTATAACTTTCTTTAGCTTTAATAATCCTCATGTTGTTTGGTCTATCTTCATGATATTCGAACATCCTTTTTCCTCTTGTGCTGCACCGGCGATGAAGATGGAATAACTATTGCTTCTTATTACATCACACTGTCCGAATGGCTGTCAGATCACGGTCCCCGTACTGTGAATCCGCTCCTCCTCTCTACGTGCTGGCAGTTCCTATGTCCAAGTGAAGACTGGGCACTAAGAAGACCCACATAAAAGGGGCTGGAGAGGTGACTTGACAGGAGCATTTGCTGCTCTTGTAGGGGAGCCAGGTTCAGTCTCCAGCATCCGCATAGTGGCTCACAATGACCTGTAACTCCAGTTCCAGGACATCCAACTCCCTCTTCTGGCTTCTGTGGGCACAGTACACAGGTGATGTGCATACATACATCCATGCAAAACCCTCATAGACATAAAATAAAAGTAAATACATCTTTAAAATAAAACAAAAGGTAGTAAGAGGAAAAAATAAAATGTTCTTCCATTCTGACAGATGTGCAAAGTACAGCTCAGGAACATCCAAAATACAAAATAGTCAATACGGATCCTACAGAAGGCAAAGATTATGGAGTAACTGGAATATCATGAAAAAAAAATCCTTTGTTTCATTAGAGGTGGCACACACCTTTAACACTACTACCCAGAAGACAGAGACAGGCAAACCTCAGGGAGTTTTAGGTCAGCCTGGTGAACATAATGAGACCCCACTTTAAAAAAAAAGAATTCTACATCCTACATTTTTAAAAACTGAATTATTTTAAGGAGGATTTGGACAGGATGAGTGAAATACGGAAATTAGTTCAGGTTCTAGATTAAAGTCACTAATGTGGGTGAGAAAACTAGCAAAATGGATGAGAAATTTGACAACGTGGGTGAAAAAATTTACCAAGGAAACTGAGTCTGGAAAAGAACCAAATGGAAATGCCAGAAATGAGTCAATTAACACACACACACATTCACACACACACACATTCACACACACACACACAAGCCCTAAGAGGTTTACAAACGTTCTCTCTGTACTGAATGTCTTTCCTTGTATCAGGTGCTCCATGCCATCTAGCAACGAGGGAGAGTACACAGAAGGGTGTGTCAGGTGTTTGCCAACAATGCCCTATTTAACAGAAGGTACTCGAGCATCTGCAGACTTCGGGATCCTTGGGAGAAGACTGGGGTTGGTTTCCCCAAGGACAACTGAATGCACATATCCATTTTCATCCAGTTCCCCCACACATTGTATTTTGAAAATCCTTGAGTGGTATTTCCAGTTCCAGTCCAATATCACAAGGTGCATTTGCATCTTCTTTGCACATTTGCAGATCTGTCTGTGACAGTGAGGAATCTGGCCGCCATGGCACGTTTGGTCAGTGTTGGGATACACAACAAGTAGTTTAAGAGTCAATACAGAGTAACTGTGAGTGCACCTGCTAACTAACCCAGTAGTCATCTACGGTTCAGGGCTTTGCAGACCATTGCCTTATTAATATCAAATGCCCCCAGAAGCACACCAGAAGATTCCTTATTTGCTTGTTTTCCTGTTTTTCATTTTTTTATACAATAGATGTTGTCAGTGGCTGACAGAGAATAACTTTTTTAAATCCTCACAGTGAATAGGATTAAAGCTCTTAAAGTTGGTGCTTCCCCTGCTTGCACACCTCTTTCTACTTAAAATGAAATTCTACTCTATTAACTCAAACCTTTAGCTTAGGTTACATTTTCTGGAGTGTTTGTTTAACCTTATGCATATTACTCTTCGACCCAAAACATAACACTCTTAAAGTTTTACCTTTAAATTTTAAGGATTTAAAGCTACGATGTCACCTCCACTTGGTCCTTACCCTCGCATCAGGATTATCATCAAATTGTGTTCTAATAAATGTATCGAAAGAATCCCAGTAATTTTCAGTTAAGTTTCCACCCAGAGACCACAAATAACAGAACACGAAAGTCTGGCACAGTAACGTGTTCAGCTTCATTTGCTCCTGAAAGTACAAAGAGAGACAGTGTAAAGATCTTACTCTCCAAGGGAAAGTAAACCCTGAACTGTCAAGTTTGGGATTTTCGTCTTTACTAGTCTTACATGTTTAACTGGGCATCACACGTGTTCTATTTAGTGGTCCTACATGGCTGCGCTCCCTTGTCTACGTGATGGAAGATGATGAAACATGAATGACAGGCACCAGTAGGAAGCACACCCTGCAGCTGACTGTAGCTGTGCATTGTAACTTAATTTTTAGCTCTTTGCTTTCTTTAAGCAGATTGAGCATTTGTTGTCCTGAAATGTTGTAGACTACAAGGGTATTAAAAGTCGAGTAGAGGAATATATCACAGGCTTTCTGGTAATCCCTTCTAACTTTGAATCAAATGCAGTCATTAGTCTCGTGAAGATTAAATTAATAAGATAAAATGATCAAATTTCTGAAAATTTAGAGTTTTATTGGCAAAGACTCTTATAGAACAATAGTATTTTTGTAGCTTTTTAGTAGTAAGAAGAAGGCTTCATGCAGGGCTGGTGAAGTGGCTCAGTGGGTAAAAGCACTTAAGCCAGACATCTTCAGCTTGATTCCTGAACCCTTAGTAGGAAAGAACCAACCCCCAAAAGTTATTTTCTGATCTTCACATGTGCACACACACCAACACACACACACACACACACCAACCACTCACCCACCAACACACACACACCAACACACCCACAC